TTTTGTCATGGGGGCTTTTATCATATTGTTATGGTGTCTTTTGTCCTGACATCGATCTTTTATTTAATTATGCTCCAATTTGACTGTTGATATGTCGTTTTTTAATTCTCGTTTTTGCAGTTTTTCACCTAATTCAGTGTCCTGGTCTGAAAAAGATAACAATGAAAAAGAATTTTTTTGAACAAGAAATCAATGGAAAATTTTTTCTTTCCTGTAGATTATTTTTATATTAGATATTTTTTCCCTAAATAATTTTGGTATTTTCATTTCGTGCTACTGGCAAAACCTTTCCTGCTACTTGAAAATCAACTGACTTTCTCTATTTTTTATCAGCTCGTTTTTCTGGTTTCATGCATGACTTAAGAACAGATTATCGCCTGCAGATTATCAAACCGTTGTTCGCGCCAAAAGATGGCGGGTTATTGAGAAGAAATGGAAAGATCGGCGAATCTGACAAGTTTTGTTTTCCACTTTGTTTGAAATTTTTTTAAATAGTTTTTGTGATTATTTTTTAGACATAATCACCCTCTCGATTCAAAAATGCTAAACTTTTTACGCTTGCGATTAGCAAGCGTTATCAAATGGGAATGTAGACTTCTTTTCGGGCTAACGACTAGCTTAACAAAACCAGTGATTCATATGATGCTGCTATGAGATGCTCAATTTCATGCTGAATTTCAAAGTTATTCAATCTCACGGAAGCGCTCATTTTGATGAAAATTCAAAATAAACTACTGGGTGGAGCAAGTTGCTACAGGGTAGTTTGAGGGGTAAGTTGAAATTTTTTAATATTTTGAAAAAAAAAAATTTTTTGGCTCAACTGGTGTCTTCAAAGATTTAAGGCCTTGTTTCCGCTTCATAAGTTTTGTTCAGTTGCTAATTTGAATTTCAAATGTCATCCTTGGGATGTTTACCCAGAATTATTGTTTGACAAAGACAGGTAATGTGAATTTGGAATGTCCTGCTTGGCTAGAATTCCTGTTTGATAAAGACAGGTGTTATAAAGACAGGCATTGGGTTTTCCTATTTCCTTTTTTTGAGACGTTTTTTGAAAAAAAAATTAAGTTTTTTAAACCGATTTTCAAAAAAGAGTTTCAATAGAAAAACCGCTACATTTTTGTATTACCCCTTTTTACCTTACCTTTTTGTCTACTGCCTTCGAAATAGTCTGTCGGGAAAAATTGCAGCAATATTTTTGATTTCTTTTTCGTTTTCTCAAAAACTGACCTAAAAATCTGAGATTTTGATTTCAATAAAAAGTAATGATTATAAAACTCCTCTCCATAAGCGGCTCTGCGCAAAGTTTTGTTACAAATAAAATTCTGGCCCTCGAAATTGTCAAACTTGAAACACTTTTTGGATCTTTTTTCAATTTTCTCAAAAGCTAAGTATCCCAAACTTCAGGTTGTGGATTAAATGTGGATAACGTGTAGGAGAAGCTCCCCTATATTAGCGGTCACTGTCAATTTTCTTGAATTTAAAGTTATTGTCTTTGGAATTGTCAGTTTTTTTAGCGTTCTCTCTCAAACTCTTATGAGTTTTATCAAACATACCTTCCCATATCTCAGATTTTGGATTCATTCCAAAACAAAATGGATTGACAGAAGCTCCTTTGAATACGCAATTAAGCTCAAATTTTTTTGACATGAAGAATTTTTGCTTTCGGAAAAGTCAAAACTTTGATTTTTTTATAAACCGTTTTTTGATTTTTTTTCAAACTTTCTCGAAAACTAACTTTTCAAATTTCAAATTAGAGTGTTCAATGGAAATAATGGGCAGTGGGAAACTTCACTGCATTAGCGGCCACTGTCAATTCTTCACACTAAAAGTTATCGTCCTTGGAAAAGTCAGTTTTTTTTGAGCTCTCTCTTTCTAAAATTTATGAATTTTACCGAAACATATCTTCCCATATCTCAGATTTTGGATTCAATCTAAAACAAAAAGATGAGCACCTCATTTGAATACGGAACTGCGCCCAAATTTTTTTGACATGAGGCATTTTTGCAATCAGAAAAGTCAAAACTTTGATTTCTCGATAGTTTTTGAAACTTTTTGAATTTTCTTAAGAACTACCCTGTCAAACTTGGTTCGAAAGTACACGCTGGGCGAACATTCTCTGCGCATGAGGCTACGACAATTTTTTTCAAAAGCAAAAATTTTTTGGAAAAGCGAAAAGCTAAGTTTCAACTTCTGATTAGTTCGCCGTTCTTTCTTTACTTTTCTCCACTCCAAATCTGATTAATAGACACAAAAAGTTATTGGAAGCTTAACTTAATAAGTTGGTACGCCCAGTTTTATTAGAAAAATGTTATGGCCTTCAAACAAGTGAAACCAGTGACTCTGTGCGGTGTGGTGTGTTTATGAACACTCTCAAACCAATGCCTCCAAATAATGTATTTATTCGGTGTTGTGTTTCAAAAAATATGATCCCAAATACTAAAAATTGACATCCACCCATTTAGTTAACCAATGTCTTAAGATATGTTTGTTGATTCCGCTGACAATGGTTAGGTCCTTGCTTTTAAATTCCGCATTCCGAAACTCAAATAAGGCGTCATTAAGAGCTTTTTGAATGCGTCGAAACAATCCCTTTTTTAAATGAACGCGTTCATAGAAGCATTTTGAATTGAATTGAGGTAAGTTAATTGTTCCAATATTTACCTATCAGAACCAAACTATAGTTTTCAGTATTTGATACTCTTTGAAGTTGATTTTCTTTCAAGACACATTTTTGGATTGCTTGCTTTTTCTTTTCAAAACTCTTTATTGTAAAGTGCAGCTTTCCGTCTTTTTCCGTATGGAGATCAAAGAGTGTCGTATAAAACGACTAGAAGTAGGGCATAAACCTTTTTTCCCATGAATTTTTGAATTTCAAAAACTTAATAACCTTTTCTAAAGAACATGAAGAAAAAATGCTTATGTGAACTAAATTGAACTCTCTAACTGAATTAAAAATTGAATAAGAAGTCGATGCCCCTTACTCAAAAATTTGGCCCTCGCCAATCAAAAGGTCTTTCCTTAGGTATTTTTATGACACCAACATGACGAGGCCAAAATGTAGATTCTGCGCACTGTAAGCGGATTCCGTAACAGGCCAAAATCAGATTTGTTGCGGAATCCGCAACATTGCTACTTTTCTTTAATCATCTATGCTGTTTTGGTTTCCACAACAAATACCTAAAAGACTGTACCACTCAAAACCGATCCAAAAGTAGGCGGATTTGCGGAATCCGCAACCGTATTTGCGGAATCCAGAACAGTTCGTGGAATCCGCAAACAAAGAATAAGACATGTGTATAGTTAAATTGAGCTGTTGCGGAATACGTAACTGTAAGCGGAATCTGCAAATAGTAAGTGAAATCCGCAAACTGTTAGTGGAATCTTGTTTGCGGATCCCGTTCACATATATGTATATATCTAGTAGCGTTTAAAGTTATATCTTTTAATTACAAGGTGGTCACCAGCAAGTTCAATCTCAATTACTCAATTACTACGGTGATCAGCTACTTGCTGAAAAGCCTAACATTCGATCTCAATTTCTGTCAAACAACCAGCTTCAGCATTTGTGATTGATGGAATCCCAAATGCTGACCAGTATTTGGGATCGATGGAATCACAAATACTGACCTCATTCGACGATATGCTGTGCATTGTGTTTCTATACACTCTCAACCCAATGACTCCAAATAAAAAATTTCTTCCATATTTTTTCCATGTTATTCCAGTGTTTGGGAGTTCATCAATCCCAAATACTGACCAGTTTTTGAGATCGATGGAATCCCAGATACTGACAAATCGGCGATATGCTGTGCGGTGTGGTGTGTTTATGAACACTCTCAAACCAATGCCTCCAAATAATGTATTTATTCGGTGTTGTGTTTCAAAAAATATGATCCCAAATACTAAAAATTGACATCCCTCGATTTAGTTAACCAATGTCTTAAGATATGTTTGTTGATTCCGCTGACAATGGTTAGGTCCTTGCTTTTAAATTCCGCATTGCTAAAAATAAGAATTCCAGCTCTAGCCTTTAATTGTTCATATGCAAGTTCAGTAAAAAACAAAATTCGGAATTCATTCACAGTTTACGGATTCCACTTACTTTTGCGGATTCCACTTACATTTTGTGGAACCCACTTACAGTTTCAGAATCCAGAACAGCTAGCAAAATTTGCGGGTTGCGGAGTCCGCGACACAACAAATGTGCTGACAAAGTTCACGTTACAGTTATTTGTACGCGGAATCCACGGAAGTTTTGTAAGTGGAATCCACTTACATGTAGGAACATGTTTAAAGATTAGTTTGTGGAATCCAGGAACATATAGACACAAAACTATGCGCCTATTTAGTGCACAGTTTGGCTTCGTAATGAATTTTCGGTTGATCAAATCAAAAAAAAATTAAAGGTGCTAGTCAATAAATACTAACTTTGAAGTGAAGCCCGCGCTGAAAAACGCAATTTTGTGGTCACAATTTTACTAAATGCGCCCAAAAACGGCATTTTGATTCTTTTTTATTGGATTTGCCTGCGGCGCTGAAAATGTTGTCGAAATAATAGGGTCTTTATAGTGTTCTGGGAGCGCTAGGACAATCATTTGGTGGACCTAAAAAAAGGTCGACCATTTTTTCGATAATTATTTGAAAGTCCGCCCCTTCTTCCCTCGAGAAAATCCTAGATCTGTCCCTGACCTTAAGTGTGAATTGATTTAAGGTTTCAGGCAAATATTTAAATTGGCTTTTGACTCGTTTTCTCGCAAAGTGTGTTAGTTCTCTCAAACAGGTGTCAGTGATTGAAGTTTCCTGAAAATAAGAGACGTTTTCGCTGTTGATTTAAATTAATCTATGAAACTCGAAGTTTGAAAAAAAATGCATTTTTGTCTTTTCCAGTTTCGTGAATTCAATATTCCTGTTTCAGCTGTCTGTTGACTACGCTAAATAACTCAAGTACTGATTGCTGGAATTACGACTTTTTAATTAAAATATCTTTTAGAAACCACGCTAAAAAGTATCAGTAAAACATTGAGAACCCATTAATCAAATAAACAACTGTTTCCCCAGTGTTTTAATGATATTATGACAATTATGACAGGAAACCCAAAGTTTAATTGATTCAATGATTACATTAGGATAATTTGACTGGTTGCGATAGGAATAAATACATGTAAGTCAGGGGGGGGGGGGGGTGGCTCTTCTCGTGGCAGAAGGACCGATTGAGCTTTCAACCAATCAAAATTCTGGAAGCTGTCTAAAAATGACAGAGTTTCCAGCGTTTTTTCTAAAGATTTTCCAATAGTGAATTCTGATTGGCTTACAATTTTTCGTCAACATTGGTCCTTCTCGCATGAGAGGTTTGGTCCTTATAAGGCAAGGAATGAGGGAAACTAAATCTCTAAATCAGAAGCTAAATCATTCTTTTCAATGCAAAATAGTTTCTAAATCAAAAACATTATGTAAACTTAGACAGCAACATTTTTGAACTCAGCGTGACTTTGTTGCATTTTAACACTTAAAAGGGTTAATTAATGAAAACTTTACAAAATTTGTGGAAATGTCTGCTTTTTATATCCTTTGTAATTCGTCACTTTGAGAAGTGAAATTTGTTGATCTGAAAAGTGCGAGGGTGTAAAATATTGCAAGGGCCAGTGCCATAATTGCGCAGATATCTGCAAAGAAGCGAGGCGTTGTGCTCACGGGCTGAAAGGAGACCGTCTTTTTGCGATTTGACGAGTCAACGAACACTTTCAAGTGTGCTAGGTTCTTCTGCAACTCTGTCGGTCTGCTGTGTTTCGATTCTGTTTCTCTTTCCATCCAATCTTTGCCCTCCTTTGTGACCGTATTTCTTTTTATGAGGTTGTTCACATAGTTGGTGCTCACCTTCATTGGACTTGTCATTTGGGTGTAATCGTATTTTTTATAATCGCATAGCGGTTGACATTGCTTGGAACAAGCCTTACCGTCCTTGCGGAGTTTTTTGGTCAAATTTGAGTGTCCACCGACCATAGCTTGGATTGTTAGTTTCCGTTGCGCTGTATCGTCCATACATTCTTCGTCACTGAGGCTATAATAGCCCGCATGCAAGTAGCATCCGAAAGCCTTTTTCCATACGTCATTATTGCAAAGGTTCCGACACATTTCGATGGAGTATCCCAGTTTCACTTCGTCGTTAGTCACTGTCGAGGCTTGGAGATACGAGAAGGGAGTTTCTGTGGCGTGGTAACATTGGTGCGATTTATACGATTCGTTCTGGGTGTATTGTATCTCCCTGGCCGAGAGAGACGTCGAGGTGCCGACGTTAATGGGAATTGCGTTTTCCGAACCCTGGTGATCGCCTATTATCACTAGAGCTCCTCGGCCGAATAACGGCGAGTCTTCGTTGTCCAGGACTCTATTTTTTTCAAAGTAGAAATGAATATCCAGGCCCAAAAACGGTCCTATTTCTATTGGCCAGGCTTTGCTAAATTGGGATCTGTAGCAAATACCCTTCAGTGGAACATACACTGGCTTGAACAGCAAATCACATTGGTAGGGTGCATTATAGAACCGACAAGAAAAAAAGAATTGTTGCAACTTAGTTCGATGTTGGTATGCGAACTTTTTGCTATAGCTAGCATAGAAGTAGTCTTCGTTGTAGACCGCAATATTATTCAGCGCTGAAAAATTGGACGAGCCATCAGAAGCGTTTCTGATAGCCGAAATGAGGGAATCGGTTTGCTGGGTTGAAAATGGGTTAGCGTATGGATTCTGGTAGACGTTCAGAGGTGATTTATTGCAAATTGTGACAACTGGAAATTCGAAATTTTCGAGAGGAGAAAATTTAGTAGTTTCGACTATGAAAGTTCCAACACGAGAATAATCGTTCCACAGTATATAAATTGCAGCTGACGAAATAACGGCGAGTGTTGCGATAACCAAGAGGTACCAAAGGGTCACACAAAGTGACCGGGGTCTCGGGTCATTCAGGTTTCGTGCCGACGACTGGGCTCTAACACCAGCGTGAGTCACGAATTGTTCTCGCGATAGGAAAGGGTCATTGTGCAGCTCTCGGCTGGCGGGGCCGCTTTCCACCCACTTTTGATGCTGCGTCGTCGTCGGTGTCGTTGTCAGACGGTGGTTGCCGACTGTCGTGCCGTTAGTAGCAGACGACTTGAGGCTCGTTAGGGTTGTGTGGCCGTCTGATTGGTAGAAATGATTCTGCGTCTCGTACATTTTGAAGTAGTCGTCAATTGAATGGTTGCTCATGGCGGCGACTTCTCAGAAACTGCTAATAAATATTTATCGATGCAACAACTACAAAACAAATCTATTTTTTCTTCATTAACGAAAAATAAGATGCTTAACCAAGAAAATGTAGTAACAAAATACTAGACGATGAGTCTTTCTAAACAACCAGCACTATTCAAAGTCAAATTTGTCAGTAGAGGTTTGATATTCGATATAATAGCCTAGGGTTACGAAGAAAATATAAACATATGGTGGCTAAAGAATTGCTTGAAACTCAATTAATCTCATTTCATGACTTAGAAGAGAAAGAGATCATAAACTAATCCACTGTTTTAAGGTTTCAATTCAGTTTTTTTTGCATCAGAGGGTTTTCAATTGAACGAAGATTTTAGTAGTAGATGTTTCACATCCGTCGAACAAACATTCAAAATGGAAACGAAATGGTAAATAATGTCTGAAGAGGTAAGCAAGATTTTCGCTCGTATCACATTGCGCAGCAAAATTAATTTTGGCTCCTGAAAACAAAAGACTCTTTTTCATCAATTTTTAATCAGAACGGCGGCTGGCAAATTAGCCACAAAATTTCTCCAGTTTCGCTTTTCAACTCGAAGCTATTATAATTAAAACAAATGTCTTTTGTCTGAAATATAAACTGGAAAGATATTTTTAAATGGTCTTTTTCAAAATCTGACCAGTTTGGTAAGACTTTAAAAGGGCAAACAATTGTGTGGGTTTTTGGTATTTTGAGAAATGATTTCCTCTTTACTTTTTGGGAAATAGTGAAACTAGATAGCGAGAGTTGTTACGATTCACCTGGCAAAGAAGAAAAACGGAGTTATGTGTCGATTTGCCTTTTGAAATTTAATATGTTCCCGGTCCGAGTTTAAGTGGTCCACTTATTCCCCTCTTTTTTTTCAACTAGAGTTTTTCTTAGTTTGCGAGAAAAAATGCACTTATTGAAAAATCATTTGCGTAAATCCATCTTCAAGCAATTCTAGCTTGCCTTAGTAGTGCTGTAAACAAAATATTTACATACTGTAAAAAAAATATTTAGAACACTAGGGAAATATAAAAGAACCAACTAAAAATATTGGGCTAAGTGGACAATAGAAGAAATAACAGAAGATCTTCAAGCTTCAACATGTCATAGTACAAGCAGCAGGCAGGCGCCAAATTTTGCAGATGAAAATCAAAATATTGAAGTAAAGTATCTTTTTGCAACCCAAAACGTAAAATCTATCAAAACTTGACCGTCTTAAAAGAACAACACTAGAATAAATCTGAAGCAAACATTCGTTTGCCTTCGTCATTGTATTTTTTGAGTAATGATAAATGATTTCATGTTAAGAATTCTTTGAAAACACATTTATGCCCGGAGCAGTTTTTTTATTAAGAGAAGTTAAGTTTTTAAAAATCAGTTTTGACCAGTATACTTGTCTACAAACTAGAAAATTTCAAAAATTAAACAACTCTTACCTGCGATTACCTTTTGTAAAATTATAGGGCCTTCAAGGTTGCCGATCTGGTCGATGTGGTCTAATTTTTACGGGTATGATTTCTAATGAAGCATAGCGTACCCAGCGAATCAGTTTGTTTCATAGATCAATCTAAAATGAACGAAAGCAATGTAATTGGGTCAAATAATGCGTTAGTTGATGCAAAACGCGTCCCTTTGTACTTAAAATTTCTTGAGACAAAAATTAAAAAACCGAAAAATGAGTAACTTTTTCTTCCGTCAAATTTAGGAATCGATAAAATAATTTTGCGCCATAGTTGAATGAAAAATGATTTTAAAATGATAAAAAATTTATTGCTCGCCGGTGCGGAAAGTCAAACAAAGTTCTTAGTTCGTTTTCAATTATAATTCAATCATATTCTTCTTACCAAAGACTGGGAGAAGTTAAATAATCGCTAAACATTTAGGGTTTTGCCTTCATGCGAGTAGTCCTTGTTAATACCAACTGCCATACATTCAATTGGATGAAAAGCTAGAAATTTTAATATCTCTTAATACCGTATCATGGCTCTTCACCTTATCAAAAATATCTTCACCTTATCGGAACTGCTCTAAAAAAATATCAGATGGAGCGTAATAGTTTCGCGTAAACACGTCTATTTCTCAATGAAAAATTGTTTTGTTTTCAATTTTTTTGAAACAGTTTGAAGCAAGTTAAAATATCGGTTGATTAGATTGCTTAGAACTTTGCTCTTATAGAAACAATCTGTTTTAGCAGGGCTATTCTCACGCAAAAAGGACTGAATGCGTGAAAATCTGCAACCAATCAATTCCTTTTAAACTGTCCACGATTGACTGAATTTATCGCTTATTTCGTTCAAACTTATGAAAACTAAATTCTGATTAGCTGAGCTAATTTTCGCGCATTCGTTCCTTCGCGCATGAGTAAATCTTCTCTTACTACCGGATATCAAAGGCCAGTTTGAGCGGTTTGAATAACACGCCTTTTGAGGCGGAATGAAACCTGTGGAGGTCGGGAGGGCCGGGATAATTTAAAAGTTTCAGTTTTCTTGCTTCCACATGTATTATTTTGCGCCTCAAACTTTTGAGTATTCCACCTTAAATCGTTCAAATTGTGCAAAAAAATTTCTGCAATTTTCTGCAAAAATTATTTTCTGTTAATTTTTTTAGCGGATGCCAGTTCTTGTGTCTTTTAACAATAAGATTAGAGACAGTATGAAAACCAATTTAAATGGTAGTACTTTCTGGTAGGACAAAAGTTGACAACAGGCGATAATTCGTAACAAGTAACAGTTCGGGTCAAGCGTCAACTCATAAAAAGAAGTTGGCATTAGCTTACTCGTGCTTCGCTACGCTATCATCCGCCACGAGAGGAAGACTGCGCGTCAAATCAGTGTTCTCCGCACAATCCTCTGATTCGAAATTTTGCTTGTTAAGAAATATATCCTGTTTCAAATTGTCGTTTCATCAAATTTTTTATCATAAACGATGTTGAATTTGGAAAAAAAATTAACATTGAGTTTTCTAACGGCCTAAACACATTTTTTTCTCCTTTTGATTCCAACTCTCAGTATGTAACTCACAAGCTGAATGAGATTTTCGAGTTTATGCTAAGAACGGTTATTTGAAACAGCCGGTTAACGTAAATATAACCTTGGATGTTTAGTTTTCTTGAGGCGAAACATCAAAAACTCAAATATGGATTTTTTACGCCGAAAATCCGTGTATGTGTAAAATTTTTGGTTTAATTTTTCGATGTTTTCATTTAAAAGTTTTTTCTTAAAAAAACTTCGCAAAATTTGAATAAATAAAATTTTAAGGTGCTTCAGTTAAACTGTCTAAAAAGCAAAGAAATATAGCCATTTTCGCTGCAAATAGCACAGAATGTTGCGGCCATATAAAAAACTAGAAAAAAAAATTTTTTTTTTTCATTTTATAATCGATTTTAGTGTGTGGGTTTTAGATCTATACAAACTCATTGAATATTTTGAATAAGTCAAGATTAAATTTATTTAAAGAGAAATTGAATACCAAACAAAATGATGGAAAAACTTTTTAAAATTTTTTTAAAAATCACAATTTTTGTACAATAGTTTTTTTTTATAAAAACTTTATTGATAAAAATTATAATACTGCAAAAATTACACTAACTTACGGTTTAAGTTAGTTTTCAAACATTTCAAATATCTTTCCGATTTAAATAATTTTTTTTAAGATTGGACTCATTTTTTTCTATTACTTTTGGCCTGGATATCCCAAACTAATTATGTCGCCAGTTAGGTGGACTGGTTTACTGTCTTGCCTTAAAAGGCAGACAGCGCGATGACAAAGCCCCCAGTCCTTTTGCGATTCTAGACTTTGAGATTTAATTAGGCAAGGCAGGTGCAACACTGATAAATTGCCCTGTTCTTTTAATTTATTGATTTTTTATGGTAAAAAATCAATGAGTTGCAAATGTCAATTTCATCAAGGGTATGAAGAAACGAGGAAAAAGAAGTTTGAAGCCTAGACTGCAGGTGCAGATTTGTCTCAGCCAAATAGCTGAGAAATAAATCAATCTGAACTTTCAGAATTTTTATTTTCCCCACTCGCTCAGTCGAGTTGAAATATTTTTCTTTTTTTATTTATTACTAATTTTCTGTTTTAAAAAAAAATAAATTTGAAAAATATAACATTCCAGAACTGACCATAGGTAAGATTCTAAAGTTTTCCTTTTGACTTAAATCACAGTAACTTAACCTAAGAACTCCAAACCTAATTTGGAGTTTAAGACAGTTGTTCATCCATTTATAACTCATTTATACTTAATTAATCGTCTTTTTTAATTTATCTGTTTATATCAATATCATTTTAACTCTAAGAACAGATCAACTATGATCTATTTTAATCTAGTATGAGACTTATGCTTAATTTCAGTTACTAATTGAAACAAAGGGATCTATCAATCCACCCCAACGTTTCTTCTTCAAAAATAAGCTCTAAAAAATATTACAAACTAGTTTAGTTCAGTGTAAAATCAAATTTTCTGAGCCGAAAAGTCTACAAAAATAAGTTTCTATATAACAAAGGTTACAGTTACTTGCTCGAAGATAGACTAAACGTTTTTAAAAAATTCAACGCTGGAAAAATTATTTTGTGCATTTGTAAATGTCATTCGCATCATGACTGAATTGGATTTAAATTGATACAGCACTCGACCCATGCTATTGACTATTTGTGGTACCTGGTTTTATGTGAAAAGGTAAAGCACACCCAAAAACAAAGTTGCTTACCATTTTCAATGGTCGGAACAAAAAAAATCAAACTTCTCACTAATTGATTGAGCTGTGTTTTGAAATTTTTATTCAATATAGAAAAGTAGTGAAAATTTTAATTAAAATAATGCAATTACCTTTCAGGCCGTCGCGTTGGACAAGGCGAAACCCAAAAAAAGTAAGTGTTTGAACATTTACGAGCTGGATATTGTGCTGAAAAATTTGATTTCGTGTGATTAATAAATTAGCAAAGATGAAAACCAAAATTTCCTTGCTAGCCGTTAGTAAGCTTTTTTTCGTCATCTGTTGTGCAATTCTAAAATCGTTAATTGTTGAAAACGCTAGTTTGTTTTGGTTTTCATTTCATTACAAACTTAATATTTCAGAAGACACAAAAAGCTGGACACTGAGTGTTAGTTTTGACATTTAGAGTTAGTTTGTTTCCAATCAACGATCAGTTTGATTTGAAAAAATATATTTTTAAAGTTCTTAGAAACATGACTTCATAAATTTTCATTTAGCCGTTGATTTTTTCATCTGATATGACTGTTGAAAAAAATGAAAACAAAAATTTTCATTTGATCGAATAACATTTTAGTGAACTTTTCATTTCAGAAAACATTATAATTTGACATTTGGGCTTTTAATATTTTGCTTGTTAAAAAGTTCTCAACTAAATCCCTGTTAGTGGCGTCTTGAAATCCAAATTGAAATTAAAGCTCGCTTTAGTTAAATCAATTTGAAATTTCGTCATTTGGCCAAAGCTAATGGCAGGTGAAAAATACTGTTGATTCTGAACTCAGCGTACTGCGATCTTTATATGGTATAAATATTTTATGTCTACAGATTAATTCTATGACCTAAAATGATCTGAATAACGAAAAGCAACCACTAGCGTTTTTTTCGAATTTTGGATCGAATACCCTTCTTGGGGTTAAGTCCAAGGATAAATAAGAATCGTTTTGAGAAAATAATATATACTCACTCGAAGATTGCAGTTCACGTATTGCAGTTTCCGATTAAAGTTAAATCAATTGTTATATTCGATTCAATAATTTTTGAAAAGTTATGACTAAAAAAATCTATGGTTGCAAAAACAACTACTTAATAAAAAGGTTTCAGCTACCATTTTTTGCGCTTGAATTCCAAAACATTGATCAATGGAATATTTTTGACTCAGATGCGTATAAAAGACTCATTAAAATTACATGGAGATAAAAGCGCGAGCAAGTTTGAGGATGAATGATGAATAAAAAATAAGAACAAGATGCATGAGAACTGTTTCAGTCCTCCGAGCACATCAATAAATCGAAATTATTCATAACTGCAAAATATGTTTTCTTTTCGAATGTCAGATAAATACCATATTGTGCTGAAAACTTGAACCAAATCGTGAGCTGCGAGGACAAGCACTAAAATATTTAAAACGACAGAGCGAGAGAAAGAAAGAGAGAGAAAAATAAAAAGGGATGGGAGGGGGAGCGGTAAGTTTTACTGCAGCAGGTAGATATGTCAAATGGAGGTGAGTTGAGGTGGTTTTTAAAGAAGAGACAAAAGAGCGATCAAAAGATTTACTTATCAATTTATAAATTAGCACTGCTGCTTGTATCTGCTCTAAGTAGCTGTCTTATCTACCGTCTCTCCCCTTTCAAGCGAAATAATCTGGATAAGACTAAACGCATTGCTCCTAATTCTTCAACTACATTAATTGACTTACCAGGAATTCAGAAAGAAACCGAAATGGTAAATAAGATCGCTATCTGCGACAATAAATCATCTACACTAAATACGCAACTAAGCCACACTCTGAACACCTCATTGACATCTCAGACCCTGTCAATCTCCCGGTGAGAACTTAATTGATTATCGATATCATAGATGAATCACAGTCCACTGCAAAAATTCTCATTTTTCGTGAATTATCGAAAATTCTGCAATAACTTCTGCCGCAAATATTGAACCTGGTTCAATAATCAAAAATTGGGTCATGGTTTTTTTTCGTGACACCGTGATTGCGTTTTTCGTTTAACACATTATAAAAATGACACTAATTTATAGAAGAAAAAACTTTTTGCAATTTTTCATGAAGGTGATTAAACACCAATCGGTCAACCTTGTTTAATTACTTTCTTAGTCCAATCACTGAACATGAGACGGTAAATTTAATATGAAAAGTGTGAAAAGTGCTGTGTGTGAAAAGCAAGAATATTTGTCGCGGCCTAATTAGTTCCAAAGCCAATTTGTAGCAATCAGACAATGTGAACAAAAAATTAATACTTTAAATTCATAGCAGGAGGAGGAGGAGCAAAATATCCTAATTTTTATCAAAAAATAGAACTTTTAAAAGATTTTTTTTTTGTAAAAATTGGTTAAACTTTTTTTAAATTGTTTAATTTTTTTTTCTTATTTCGGGGTTTGATTTGGTTTGTTTCGTAAGAGTAAATTAAAACTCACGAAAAACTTTAAAACATCACAGAAGAAATTAATTAGAAAATCTATTTAAATTGCCCTGGTCATCTTGGAGAAGAGGAAACCTGCCGAAAACAAAATACACTAGGTCATAGTTCCTTCCAAACCCTTTTACAGGATTGGCCATAAACACTACGCTGCGTTTCAGTTTCAAAAAAAATGTGCAACAGGACGCTAAAGTCTATTTGTTTTCCTTTTAATTGCCAAAAAGCTTACAAAAGATATGACGAACCATCAAAATGTAAGAATATGATTTAAGTACTAGACATTTTTAGCTTAACCTGAAAAAAATTGCCAATATGATATAAAAAAACTTTACGCAGACTATACTTAATTTTTTTTTTTAAATTATAAAAAATGGAACGTAGCCAACAGACAATAAAAAAAATTATTAAACGCGAAGAAACAGAAAAAAACTGATATGATTTCAAATTTTCAATAAAATAGATGACTTTAAAATTTTTTGATTTTTTAGAGCGCTTTTTGATATGCTTAAAACTCTAGAATAAAATTAAGTAAAATAAAATTTAAAACTAATAAACTATAAATCACGTTAGATATTGGAATTTTGTTTCCTTTTAAGGAAAGAAAAAATCTGATTTTAATTCAAAAACAAAAAGTAACCTTCGAAAAAAATAGCATTTCAGACCCTTTCAGAGCTTTTCAGCCTATCAACTAATTTTCAATCTGATCTGGAAAAAAAACTACGAAAAAACTATCATGATCTATATAAGAGTCTGAACTACGTTCATCAATTTAAAAAAAAACTACAGCAAGTAAGCCTCCGAAATCGCATCAATTACACCACTGGAATGAAAGTGCCTTGCCATGATTAGTAATAAGCCACAAATACAAGAAGTATCCATTGCCCTCCATAAAAGTAAATAGGCACATGCTGTCAAAACAAAAACGCTATTCATTTTTGCTCAAAAACTTCGCAATGAAATGAGCGAGCGAATCTACATTTGTTGTGTATATACCCTCAAGTGACTTGCAGTCATCAGTTTACTTGATTTTGTCCTTGATCACATACTTGTACAACCAAAATTAGTAGCAATGACTGCTGCGCTTTAATTCATGGAATATTGCACATAATTGGCAGCCAACGCATATGTTTTGAAAGACAAAATTTGATACTTTGTTAATTTGTTTCAGAACATTTCAACTAAAAAAAAAACTGGCCAGGTAATATACAAATATATAACAGACAAGAGCGGATTTAGCATTTTGTCGAGGGCGAGTATTTTTTTTTAATTAGAAATTGTTGGCGGTGTTTTTCAAGTCGAACAAACTCATTTTCCGAGTTCACCCAAAGCACTAAAAAGACCCTGTTTCGGCTAAAAATTTTGCGAAATGAATGCAGTAATTCGTTTAAATGCACTGCTGTAAAGTTTTGCATCAATTTGAGACCTTTATTGAAAAAAGACGAGAAAATTAATAATCATTACGATTCATCGATACTTAACAAGCATAGTGTGTATTCATTTTAACTGTTTCTGAAAGCATTGAAGGCCTTGAAAATTTTTTGAGAATATCTTTTTGACCTGGTTTGGTCGACCAAATTGATTTTCCGTCGACAACCAAAACGCTATAGAGACCTTAATTTTCCACACTTTTCTGAACCTTTCACGTTTTTGAATTTAAGCAAAACGTATGGGCCATGTCTTAGACATTTTTTGGTTAAGACTAAGGAGCACGCCTCAATCCAATTTGGAACGATTTCTAATACGAATTGAATATATCGGGCGTTAATTGTCGCAAATTGGCAATCCTTAAGCCCCTATAACTTAACGAAAAAAAAATGATCACAAGTAAAATATATTTTTAAATTTGAGCTCAAGGCAGCAGTACTTTTTGAATGATATAAAACAATTCCGTCAAAAATTGCTAATTTAAAAGTCAAAATTTTTCTAGGGAAAAACCACCCCGTGCACAAAGATTACGTCACTTTCCTCAAAAATCGGATCAATTTTTTATTGTAAATGTATCACTAGTGAGACCAATATGGAATTAGTTGGAGAATAAATACTTCCTAGTGTTTCTATAGGTGGAAAACAGATCTTTAGAGCTCTCCAGACAAAGATAGATAGCGTAACCAGCAGACGGTGTGCTCTATCCGAAACCACTCTATGTGATAGCACAAAGAACCGATCTGAGTGGGCGGTAAATAACATCTATTCATTAATCATTCTAAATTGAACTGCTACAGACTGCTACTTAATCAAAAACTTATGTTGAATGCTTGTTTATAGGATCTACTATAACAGTTTTTCATAACAGATTCCCATTATATAACCATTACATTTCGCAAAGTGATGAAAAGCGTAAAAAAGCAGCGAATTGAGGTTTTTTTTATTAGAAAAAAACGTTGTCATTTTGCTTACTAGAACCACCGATACTCTTTTAGAACGAAGCGGGTAGAGGATAAATACTGTATCAAACAAAGTTTTTTGGAAATTGGGCATCGTGAAAAATCTAGAGGTCAATAAAAAATGGAACATAGCCAACAGACAATAAAAAAAATTATTAAACGCGAAAAAACAGAAAAAAACTGATATGATTTCAAATTTTCATTAAAATAGATTACTTTAAAATTCTTCGATCTGATAGAACGCTTTCTTGATATTATTGAAAATATAGAATAAAATTAAGTAAAATAAAATTAAAAACTAATAAACTATAAATCACGTTAGATATTGGAATTTTGTTTCCTTTTAAGGAAAGAAAAAATCTGATTTTAATTCAAAAACAAAAAGTAACCTTCGAAAAAAATAGCATTTCAGACCCTTTCAGAGCTTTTCAGTCTATCAACTAATTTTCAATCTGATCTGAAAAAAACTACGAAAAAACTATCACGATCTATATAAGAGTCTGAACTACGTTCATCAAATTAAAAAAAAAACTACAGCAAGTAAGCCTCCGAAATTGCATCAATTACACCACTGGAATGAAAGTGCCTTGCCATGATTAGTAATAAGCCACAAATACAAGAAGTATCCATTGCCCTCAATAAAAGTAAATAGGCACATGCTGTCAAAACAAAAACGCTATTCATTTTTGCTCAAAAACTTCGCAATGAAATGAGCGAGCGAATCTAGATTTGTTGTGTATATACCCTCAAGTGACTTGCAGTCATCAGTTTACTTGATTTTTTCCTTGATCACATACTTGTACAACCAAAATTAGTAGCAATGACTGCTGCGCTTTAATTCATGGAATATTGCACATAATTGGCAGCCAACGCATATGTCTTGAAAGACAAAATTTGATACTTTGTTAATTTGTTTCAGAACATTTCAACTAAAAAAAAAACTGGCCAGGTAATTGACAAATATATAACAGACAGGAGCGGATTTAGAATTTTGTCGAGGGCGAGTTTTTTTTTTTAATTAGAAAATGTTGGCGGTGTTTTTCAAGTCGAACAAACTCATTTTCCGAGTTCACCCAAAGCACTAAAAAGACACTGTTTCGGCTAGAAATTTTGCGAAATAAATGCAGTAATTCGTTTAAATGCACTGCTGTAAAGTTTTGCATCAATTTGAGACCTTTATTGAAAAAAGACGAGAAAATTAATCATCATGACGATTCATCGATACTTAACAAGCATAGTGTGTATTCATTTTAACTGTTTCTGAAAGCATTGAAGGCCTTGGAAATTTTTTGAGAATATCTTTTTTGACCTGGTTTGGTCGACCAAATTGATTTTCCGTCGACAACCAAAACGCTTTAGAGACCTTAATTTTCCACACTTTTCTGAACCTTTCACATTTTTGAAATTAAGCAAAACGTATGGGCCATGTCTTAGACATTTTTTGGTTAAGACTAAGGAGCACGCCTCAATCAAATTTGGAACGATTTCTAATACGAATTGAATATATCGGGCGTTAATTGTCGCAAATTGGCAATCCTTAAACCCCTATAACTTAACGAGAAAAAAAATGATCACAGGTAAAATATATTTTTAAATTTGAGCTCAAGGCAGCAGTACTTTTTGAATGATATAAAACAATTCCGTCAAAATTGCTAGTT